GATTTATTCCGCACTCATCCCACTTTAGAAGAAAGAATTGAACGACTAGAAAAATTAAAAAAACGCCGAGCATTACCCGGTATTATTTAAGCAAGCGTATCGACGGCTAAAAGAAACATCAAAATTAAAATTTGCATTAAATGGTTAAAATTATATAATAACAAAGTGAAAATCTATGACAGTTAAGCAAAAAAAAAAAAAAAAAAAACAATAATTTTAATAGTTGGCGGGCTAATTTTAGTGGTGGTCGTTGGGACGATTGATTTTTTCGTTTGATCCAAAAATAAAGCGGTTGAAAACAAAAAACAAACTAATTCAAAGGTAGAAATCCAGCAATTAAAAACTGAATTAAGTTCGCTCAAAAGTAAACTAAGCCAATCAAATCCTAACCAAAAAACTCAGTTAGAGAATAAGTTAACCGAGATAGAAAGTCAGATAAAAAATCTTTCAAGTCAAGATAATTCTCCTTCACAGTCTATCATTAAAAAACTGGAACAAGAAATTAAAGAGATTAGGAAAAAGTTAAAAAAGAAAAAGAAGGATAAAAATAATGATGACAAAGAAGAAAATAACAACAACAATAACGAGAATAACAATGATGATAATCCAGAGGAAGACGATGATTTAAGTAATTTTATTTCCTCAATTTTTAGGCGAAGTAAATCAGATAAAAGTGATTATCAATTATTTTCAAATAAGGGTCAAGGATTTAAAGTCTACATTGCCAAAGATCACCCTCTTATAAAAGGTAAAAAGTTAGATAACTCAGACGATACTCCTCCTTTTAGTATTAGATTTAAGAAAAAAAATGCTTCAAGACAAGAAGGAGATAAGGTTTTTTATTTTGAAAAGGATAATACTAATTTAGAATTAGGTGCCTTTGATGACTGACCGGATGACCCAGATAGTAAAAAAGAAGAAAGAGTTTTATTTATTGGCAATAATGAGCCGAGTGGTTATGTTTTCACCAACCGTTTAAAAAACAAAGAGAAAGGAAAAAGTCAAAAAAATTTTTATATTAGTGAAAACCATCCACGAATTAAGGAATTATTAAAGGAAGGAAAATTACAAATAGGTAAGCAATTTATTATCTGCTATGGAAAAGTGGACGATGAATGGTTGAAGGATATTTCTCTTGTTTTTAATGAATTCAATCGCGAGTTAGAAATTGTGGAGGTTTAAAAATAGATAAAAAATAGTTTGCATTTTTCTCTTCAGAGAAGTTAAATCGCTAAAATATTCTATATGGTGAAAAAAAAGAATGAATTATCCCATTACCCTAGTTTTTTCTTCTCAAAGTTGGTATTTA